GGACAGAATATATTTATTTTGTTTATTCATTTTTATGTGGTGCTGAGGATCGAACCCAGTGCCTTACATGTGTGAGGTAAGCACTCTGCCACTGAACCACAACCCCAGCCCAAGAGTCCTCACTCTTAATGATCTGATATTATTCAAACAAATAATCAGCCAAAATAGTCAATATCTATAACTCCTGAGAAGAAAATAAAACAAATGTTATATTGGTAACTGATGTTGGAGTCATCTTAGATTCAGTGATCAGATAAGGACTCAGATGAGGGCAGCAGTGATCCAAGATCTGCACAAAAGGTTATACTACTGTACAAACAATTTCTGTCAAGCCCCCAGCATTCTACAACACAGTTTAGGGTCACTTATAGACCTTGAATAAGTGACCAAACACAAGTACTCTGCTAAGAGTCTCTGGAACTATCCAGATTTGGGGGGAAGGTGAGGGCTGAGACCCCTAGCAATAGGATGCAGGGAATTTCAAGCATTAGGTCTGTTGATCTCCATAGAGACACTGAACACACATTCATACATGCAAAAAAAAAAATATGTACAAACAGCCCAACCTTGTGAACACACAGGTCTCCAGTCTGAGTCCTAGGGGCGGATCTCCCATACTTTGAGACTCCTAGAGCTGTTTCAGCCCCAGACTCACTCCCTGAAGTCACAGGGGGCAGTAGGCACCTAGAAATGTGAAGGAAAAAATTGGAGTCCACAGTTGTTTTTTACTAGCGGGACACTGATTAGTTGAGAGAGATTGTTCAGGATCTGTGTTAATTAGGTTTTTGTTGCTGTGGCCAAAATATCTGACAAGAAACACTTAGAGGAGGAAAGGTTTGTTTTGGCTCATGGTTTCAGAGGTTTAGTCCATGTTGGCCTACTCCATTGCTCTGGGCCAAGGTGAGGCAGAACATCATAGCAGAAAGGCATGATAGAAGAGTGCTACTCTGTTGTTCATGGTGTCCAGGAAACAGAGAGAGAAAGAGAAAGAGTAAGGGGTCACAGGGAAGATGAACCCTTGCAGGGCATGCTCCCAGTGACCCACCTTCTCCAGTCATGCCCCAGCTGCTTAGAATTACCACCCACTTAGTCTATTCAAATTAGCATGGACTGATTAGATTACAACTCTCATAATCTGATTACTTCACCTCTGAATATTCTTGCATTAACACAGGAGCTTTGGAGGGATACATCATATCCCAACCATAACAAGGTGTAACACTCTAAATGAAACAGAACCATTTGCCTCGTGATGGGCCTACAAGGAATCGAGAAACCCTGACATCTGCTACTTGGTCACTGTTGTGGTGTGAAACTGATAAATACAATCAATAAGAGTGTAAGTTATAGGTTATATATTAGTAAAAAATATATATTACAGATATAAGATTTTGATAAGTAAGATAAGACTACTATAAAGTAAGAACAGTCATAGACAGTCCTAAGACTCCATTTTGCTGTCTCCTATAAAAAACTATTACAAGAACTGTTTCTGAGAAACTGAAATGAAAGCTGTTTTCTTATTTTTTTTTAAATTGTCTTTCTGAACTTTGTACCCCACAAATTGTACCCTACTCAGGATGCAGCAGTGGTCATGGTGAGTACATCCTGGGTGTGAATGCCCTTTTGGATCTACATGACTTAGAAGTAGATCCTCACCCCACTGACCCCTGCCCAAATTCAGGATACGACTGTCTAGCACCTGCTTGAACCCAGGACTGTGGTCAACTGAACTGCAAAGCTAATGCTTTTTTTGCTTTTGTTTACCACTTGCTTGCTGACTGGAAAATTCCAGTCCTGCCTAGAGCCCACAGGTCCCACTTATTAATGTTTTAATTTCTATAATTGGCTAGCTTACATGATGATAAGCAAGTCACTAAGTTGTGGTTTTTGCGCTTATATTCTCTTTGGATGGACCAGGAAGCTGCTGTCCTCCCAGAGAGCTTGAGTCTCTGCGGTGGGTGACAGTTTCTGGCCAGGTAAATAAAGCTCTCTTTTGATCTGAATTCAGACTTAGAGTGCTTTCTGGGGTGACTCCCCATAACAGTCACCCTGTGAGAGTGAAAGGCAGGCAGAAAGTCCCTATGGTGACTGTATTTCTTGGGGCAGTGATTTCCAAAACTGGCCAAACTTCCAGATCACCTGAGGATTTCACTAAGATGAATATTTCTGATATTTTAATTCACTGGGTCCAGAATGGAACTAGATCTTACAATTTTATCAAGCATTCCAATCAATTCTGGTCTCTATGCTGAAGGGCCACATGAGGTGGCATAAATCATTCACCTGCCAGGAAAAGGCAGGTGAGACTGTGGCATGGCAGTAGCTAGCCTGAAGCATTTGTTTAGTTAGTAAAGGGCTACTTGCACCCTATTTCTTTAAAACATGAAAATTGTGTTTGCCTGGACAAACCACCACTTCCTTCTTAGAGGCTCTGCGCCCTCCCCACACAGTGGTCACCAGGGTCAGAAGCACCCTTCCCAGATGGCCTCCTGTCCTGAGCTCCTCCTGCTCTCCTGGGAATCTATCAGCCACTCAGGGTTACTAGGACAACATCACTTTACAAAATCCACTTCCTGACATCTCCAGCCACTTGATAACATCAGATCTATTCCTGGTTAATGAGGAAGAAAAAAAAAAGAAAAAGAAACCTCTGATTCCTGGCAGTTACCAAAGCACAGATCATTTACATAATAACAAGCAAACAACCTCCCAAGTCAGAGGCTCAGCATGTCATATGAGGGGAGGGAGGCGGGTTATAGTTCATGGCCTGACTCTTGGCACTGATCAATTTCAGGCAGCCACAGAGAAAGAAGATTTGCTTCCCTGAAGGGAAGGAGATCTGACAGACATGAATGGCAGGCGTCAGCTGCTACCCTGAGTCCCCATCTCTGGGTGGAGCAAGGACAAAGGTGTCAGAAGCAAGAGTTATAGAACTTCAAAGGAAGATTGTCCTGTAGGATCAAGTCCCTGAAATTCCAGGATCTGGAACCTGGGATGGAATCTGGGCCTTGAATGTTACAAGCTTTTGTAATTATGGTCATACTGGTCATGTTTCAGCTTCCACAGAAGAACATGGACTCACAGACACAATTTAAGCCCAAAGTCTCCAACTTATGGATGATTTGTATTTGCCCTTCCAACTTACCCAGAGTGGTTTTCTTTTCTTTTCTTTTTTCCCCCCACATTTTTTATTGGTGCATTCTAGTTGTACATTCTGATGGGATTGTTTGTTACATATCTGTGCATGCACATGTTACAAAATATAACAATATAATTTGGCCAATATCACTCACCCAGATTGGTTTTCTATAGACTTCAGAAATAGCTGGTATTTACCCCACAATTAGCTTAGGCAATAAAAACTGAAAGCAGATTTCAGATCCTGCAACTCTATTCCTGAAATGATCCTGCAGTCTGCATCTATATGTGACCACTGGTTCCTATAGCTTTTGAAGACAGAACCCTTTAGAGACTGAGGTAAAGCCTGGGAAACTGTGGCCCAGAAAGTCAACATACCATTCAGTGCATCGCATCAATAGGGAATTAACTTCAATCGACAGTCTCTTGCTTCCAAACTTAGAACTTTCCACCTACGAAACCATCTCTTCTTCAACCCTAATATGGTACACAGTGACCTGTGCCTTTTTCTCCCCCTTGGAATGGCTCCAGAGCCAGAGTCTAGGCTTCATAGACTTCTGAATACTGACTTCCTTTCCAAGAATGCTCTGCAGCATGACCACCAGGTTTTCACTCTGTGCAAAGAGCAGCAAAGAAAGACCGAAGCTCAGAGGTGTCTGCCAGCTCCCTGTTCCAAAAACATTTCCAGCATGGAAAATGGGTAGCAGAGAAACCTATTCCTTTAGAACAATGAGGCTCAAAAGATTCCTCTCAGTCATCTCCATTCCTACATTCTCAAGGAGAACATGCTGCCTGTGGTCCCTTAATATCTGTTCTTGGAGTGTCCGGCTTCGTTGGTATGTGTTATGGTGTAGAATGAAGTGTCCCCCAAAAGCTCATGTGTGAGACAACTTAAGAATTTTCAGAGGTTCAATGATCAGATTATGAGAGGTATGATCTAATCAGTGGATTTATTCATTAATATGGATTACAATGGTAACTGTAGGCAAGTAGTTTAGAGAAGCAGGTCACTTCGGGTGTATCTTTGGGGTTTGTTTGTTTTTTCCCCTGGTGAGCAGAGTATTCTGTGTGTGTGTGTATGTGTGTGTGTGTGTTCTGGTCACCATGTCCTCAGCTGCTTTCCTCCACCATGCCTTCTGCCATAATTATGTGCCTTACCTCCAGCCCAGAGCCATGGAGTTGACCAACCATAGGCCTCTAAAACCATGAGCCAAAATAAACTTCCTCCTCAAGTGGCAATTTTATCCACAGCAATGCAAAAGCTGACTAAAATGGTATGAAAGAGATGTCAATCATTGTATATCCTTTAGTAAAGAACCATCTGCCTTCAGCCTTTGGAGGAGAGGGAAAAAGAGACTGGAGGGACACCTTGAACCCATCATTTCTTTATTGTTCTAGGTATGCTGGGAGGCCTGGGTGAACTGTAATTTCTATCTTTGGACTCTTACAAGAATTCCATATTTTAAGATGAACTTACCTTCTCCAAAGCTACCTGATAGGGGTCCATTGGAAAGTGAATACAGAGAAAGAGAGATAGTTCTAGGTTGAGGTCAAAATGGTGGTGGGAAGGGGATAGACATATAGAGAGAGGAGCTCTGAAAGGACCATCAAGTGCTGGATCAGGGGAAGAACAAGCTCTATCCATTTGGGAAAACTGCATGCCCTGCAGGGTGGGCTGAGAGAACCAGCAGGGACTCTCTAAGTGACCAGGGATAGCGCAGGAGAGGAGGAGGATGGGTCCCTGTGGCAGAGAGAACTCTTGGGGCAGGAATGTGAAGCTCTAGTAATGGAGGGATGCAGGAGGAAGGGGGCTGGGAGACAAAATAAACAGAAACTGACTGAGAGGACAACAGAAGAGCTTGAGCTTGTCCTAAAAGTTTTTATTGCATTTCCGGAACTGAGCCGGTGACCCTCACCTGTTGGGAAACCATCCCTGCAGCTGACAAAACTGCATCTTCTGCAGTTTTATAGCATAGAGACTGTCCTTTATGCACGGTATAACAAAAGGGACATTCGTCTTGGGTATACCATAACAACCCCTCACCCTTACCATAAATAAGAAAGAATTATGTAAGAGTTACCTATTGTAGCTGTGAGAAAATTTAGCTGTTGTAGCTGTGAGAAAATTTAGGTGAAACTTATGTTCTGGTTACAGTCATTCTGGGTCATCATACATATATATTTTTCATTTTCTAAAAAGTCTCTAGTCTTTCCTTTTTCTATTTTCCTTAATACATGGTTTCATAGGTGCCTCTAAGTTTTAAGCAGTTTCCAATGCCATTGGTAAGTAGCCTGGATTTCAATTAAAAGTAGTGAATTGTTCTGCTGTATTTCACAAAAAAATGTTTTCATTACTGCCAATCACAGTAGCTAAAGAAAATTTGGTAATGTGACAATCTAGGTGTGCTAGAGGCCAAGGACAAAAGTCCTATCACTTTTACCCTGCTGGCCCCAGTACCTTCAGCATGTCCCAATCCAACTCCCATGCCTGCCTGAACAGTTCTGCAGGAGGTCCCCCACCCCCACCTCCTGGCAGGAAGAAGTATGGCCTGACAGTCACTTCTCGGTAGCCGATCCATTTGTTCATTTGTAATTCTTTGATATATTCATTTAACAAATATTAGTCTAGAGTTATTAGCCACCGAGTGCTTCTCTTGGTAGTTCAGATACAAAGAGAAATAAAGCAGAAAACAAAGGTTACCAAAAACTTTTCACTAAGTGAAAGTGGCCCTTGTTCCATTTATGAATTATTTTCCAATCTCATTTTGTGATGGGCATGCAGCTGGAGTTGCAATTCATCCTCTTCTCCTGGTTTGCTGCATAGATGCTTTGAAATCTCAGATCTCCTCACCCTGAGGTAGTTGAAAAACCTCCATGGTTAAGCAGAATCATGAGCCAAAACCACAGCAGAATGCTGCTCAGAGGAGATTGCATTTGCTGATTGGCTGGTCCTGCAGAATTGTACCCTTAGGGTGTAGAACTCACTTGGGGAGAGTTTGTCCTCTTGTGTATACTAATAATGGGACACTGACCCACAATGGAGATAGACTGTTACCATGAAAGGAAGGGACAATGGGGACAGAGACTAACAATGTCTGTGAGAAGGGCACACCCTGCAATTGTCTCCTCCCATGCTGCTGGTATGTACCATGATGCTGAATCATCCCCTTAAAATTATGCAGGAAGGAAAAGATATTCTTTGCCCTTAAGTTCACTCTAGTGGCTAAAGAAAAGCCACAGGAAGTTGAGTGGGGTAAGGGGATTCTTAGGACTAATAGTTGTCACTCGTATGGATATTGCCAGATACTATAGTCAGAAAGTGGAAGGTGCCCGGGGGTGACTCATGAAACCAAGAGACAATATCCATAGCATGAAGAGTGCTAGGCTGGCCCTGGGAAAGGGTTTAGGAAAGGAGAATTGGCACCAAGGAGTGCAATTATTAGAAAGAAGGAATTGGATGTCTTTGTCCCTGAGATCTACTATCTATTCTAACACAGGTATGGCACTCCACGGGTCTCTCTGGCAGGTTGAGTGTCCTCACTGTAAAAGAAGAGAGTTTATTTGGCCCTTCCAATGGCTGAATCTGCTTCAGTACTGTTCTGATAAGACAATGCCCCTGGGCTGGACCAGATTCTTGTGCCCCATAGTTAGCTTCTGCCATTTCCCCATCCCACAATTAAATATGCCTCCTTCACTCTAGTTCCTTCTCCAAACAGGAATGACTTATCTCTAGCCATGGGAAACCAGCACTGAATTCTCTTTTGAAGCAGCATAGAGCTCAGCAGGGAGACAAGGAAGGGCCAGAGAAATGAGGTGCTTTAGGCTGGGAACTCACAGACAACCAGGTAGGAGGACGAGCAGGAAACATCATTCCAGAGTCCATCCTTCAAGAGAATCACACAGTCCTCCCCTGAGCCATAGTTATTAGGCTCACTCGCCTTCCAGTTGCTGTAGGTTAGCCTCCCTCCTGTCACATACATAAACTGGCCTTCTGTAACCTCATCTGTGATACCCAGGAAGGCATTGTCTCTGGCCACCTGTTGGATGTTCTTGTTCTCCTCAGCATTCTTGGGGGCAGCCACAGTGGCCTGGAGCTCTGTGCACCAAGCCTTCGCTTTGGAAAAAGGCATATTTTCACCATTGGTCACGTAGAACTTCTTTCCAGACTTTTTGCCCAAAGAGAAGGCTTGCACTGAAATCAAAAAGAGTAGATGAGGCTGACTGGAGCCCAGCTCAGGACAGTAGGTGAAAAAGCCCTTCTCTGGGAACTGGACTCTAAAAAATAGTACCATGCCCAAGCGAATGCCCTCTGACAGAGACTATGAGGAGGCCATTTCCCAGCTGTAGAGTCATGGAAGGGACATAACCTCTGGCAGACAGCCAGATCCCATCCTTGAGACCTACATTGGTTAAAAACTACCCTGGCACTTGGTGGACAGAGAAGACATGCTTGGGCCTCACTGACAGGATCAGGTACCAACAACCATGTAGGAACAGTGGATGTCAAGAAAGGAGCAAAGACTTTGGAGACAACAGATCCCTCTTCACTTCTTCCCCTGCCCCTTGCTGGCAGTGTGATGTGGAATAAGTTCCCTATGCTTCCTGAAATTCTTTTTCCTCATCTGCAGACAAAACACATATAACAACCACAACTAACATTGGTGAGGGGATTGAATGAAACCCTATTACAGGAAAATGACAACCCAGCACAGACCCTGGTATGTATTGAGTATTCCTAAGTGTTAGTTCTTTCTCTTCCACTCTCCCTCCAAATCTAGTTCATGCTGAAGAAAAAAGTGAGGGTCAAGTACATGTTGGGGGCAGAGAAAAGACTTACACTTTTTGATGCGGTCCAATTCTGATTTCAGGTTCCTTATCTCTCTCTCTAAGTTAGCCAGTTTAGTCTCAGCAGCTGCAAAGCAATAGAGACAAGGGTATTTAGTAAGAAGACCTCAAACTGGAGAACAGAATATTTTGGAAAAGGATTTTATTTTTGGCTTACTTAAATGTAAGCTTGTTGCAAAAAAAAACAAGAAATCAAAATGAAGCAAAAAAAAATTAACTGTATTTCTGTCTTCCCAGTTATATCTTGATGTTATCGTTTGGATCTGGAGTGTCCCCAGCTGGTGGCATTATTGGGGGATAGTGGACACTTTAGGAGGAAGTAGGTCACTGGGGGCTTTGTCCTTGAGGACATATCTTGTCCCCACTCCTCCCTACCTCTCCTTTTGCTTCTGGCTGCCATGAGGTGAGCAGCTTTGTTTCACTACACCCTTCTGCCATGATGTTCTACTTCCTCACAGACCCAGAAACAGTGGAGCCTGAGAGCACAGATGGACTCCTCTAAAACCATGGGCCAAATTAGTCTTTTCTACTTTAGGTTGATTTTCTCACAGTGAGAAAAGTTGACTAATAGACTTAGTCACCCTTAGCAACTTGTGACTATAATACTGGATTCTTTTCTTCACCTTTTGCTTATGGTAATGTTATAATAATTTTTGGGGGGTTGAAATATAACTTTTGTTTTTATTTATTTGTTTATTTATTTTTGTTTTAAATACACAAATTTCTTTTTTTTTAATTTATTAGTTCCCAGATCTTACTGGGGTGTGCTCCTTACCCGAACTATCTCCACGATCTCCTTTTTGGCCTCTTGGTCCTGGAGCCCCAGGCGCCCCTGTATTTCCTGGAGGCCCCAGTTTCCCTGGAGGGCCCTGCAAACCTCTGAGCCCTTGACCTGTTACAAAGCAAGGAACAATGACCCATGATCATTACTCATTTTCCCTAACACTTGATTCACACTGACCCCAGGAAAGAACCAGGGAACTAGTAGTGACTCAGAGAAGAAAGTGCTTCTGCATCCCAGGGCAAGAAGGCTGTCCTGAAGTCAATCACACACCCCCAATTTCTATGGAAGTGTGGAATCTTGGAGAGCCAGAGAGCACCTTTGTTTGGAAGGCAGTGATGTGTTATAGGGACTAGTCAGGTGCACTAATATCCACCATAATAAAAGCTGAGCCTCCCCAGGTCTCTGCTATATTCCTCATGTGGAACAGTCCCCTGCTGGCGACATTCAGGAAGACAGAGCAGCCCGTCATGTACCTGGCTCGCCCTTTTCTCCCTTGAGTCCATCTCGCCCATCTCTGCCTGGAGTGCCATTGGTGACAGGGATCCCACAGGTAATCACAGAGCAGGTCTTCTGGGCATCCTCACATGTTTTTGTTTCTGAGGCCACTGTCACCACACTCAGGAGAAAGACAGGGAGTAATGGAAACAGGAACATGGTCCTTACCTCAGAGTGGAGAAAGTCAAGGGAAAAAAATCATCTCATTTTGTTGAGTCAGCATATGCTGCTACCTGTGCTTGCCTCCCCTGGCCTGTCAGGGCCCTTCACCTTCCCTTTCTCCAGGACCAGTTGGAGAGAGGTCTGGTTGAAAGGGAACTCCCGTGATCAATCCTTTGACATCTTTCCCCTCCCTCCCTCCCTCCCTCCCTTCCTTCCTTCCTTCCTTCCTTTCCTGTTGGTCCTGGAGTCCACAGTCAAGGTTTCTATATGGTACTGGTGCACTCACACCCCACTCATCACTTCCTTTGGAAAAGACCACCTTTAGCTTGCAGATGGTCAAGTGGATCCAAGAAAGACACAGATGCCTTGGATCATAGAGTCAGAAGCCCAGGTGGGCCTATTGACCCTTCTAAAACTTCTACTCAGTCCTCACCAGGTTCAAGCCATGAAGCCAGACTGTAGGCCCAGGTCTCCACCTCTTTCCTCCAGAAATGACTTACCCAGCACAGAGGCAATGCAGGGAAGGGAGCCCTCCAGCTCAGGCTTCTGGCAGCTGCCGCAACAATGTCAGGCCCAATTAGGCTGGTAACCAAGAACCACACTGGCCTGGCCTTCAACCCCAGATTAATAAACAACTATCCTGGGCTGGAGATGTAGTTTAGCAGTACAAAACTTGCCTTGCATATATGAGGCCCTGGATGCCACCCATAGCCCTGCAAAAAATTAATGAATAAATGAAAATAAAATTAAATTCTAATAAACAACCATTCTTGGAGCTGCTATAACTAGGTAGTTCTCCTGGGCTGCTGGTGGGGTCTCCAGAACAGTTCTAGGCAGTGTCTCCATAGTAAACCAACTCCTCCTTCACCTGTCCCACCCACACATCCATTCGTACAGCTCAGTCACTCTGATCCTATAGAGTCACAAGCTCTCAGCACGGTTCCATCTAGATACTTATTTCCAAAACAAACATGCACAGATGTTATACCAGACAAACACATGTGTTCATGCACATGCACACATGCACACACTAGCATACATCTCTGTATCCATTGTTCTCATCCCTTCATTTGGGTTTCATTTATTGCAGGGCCAGGGTGGAGACATGAAAGACCTATAACCCTGGGTAAACTCACTTTTCCCTCATCATCCAGGAAATTTGTCAAATATCTTCTTGGGACATGACACAGAGCTAGGACAAGGGGAAGACATATTTGCAGACAACTTAAATTCAAAGCTGAATGTGAGCATTTGCACCAACTGGCCTCTCTGCCCAGACACTTGCCTCTGTCTTTGCATTGTCATTTGCTGTCATTCAGATTTCATCTTAAATATTGTCTTGGGAGAAAGGTCTTTCCTAACCATTAAATTTTAAGTACGCATGTTGATAAATAATGATTCTCTGCTCTAATTTTCTGCTTCCCTGTGTGAATTTTTGTTGTTTATTTGATTACCTGCTTATTGACCACCTCACCCCTTTAGAATGAGAGTTTCATGAGCTGACATCTTGCTCACAGCTGATGCATGTCCACCTAGGACAGTGTTTACAAACTGCCAGTGCTCAAGAAAAATTGATGGAACAATTGCAAATTGTAGCACTGTGTCTTCAGAGCAGCACTCTTGGCTTTTCTCTGACTAGAGCTAACTTCTGTGTCCACTTCACCTGTGTTGTTACTGTTCTTGGGCAAGAACTGTGTCCAGTTCAATTCCTTGTCCCCATGGTGCAGCCCAGGGCTGGGCACATAGGAAGCACCCAGCAAGAGAGCAAGGAAAGAAGCAGAGACCTGGAGCAGGAGCATGTGCCAGATTAGGCTGTGGCTGTTACAGGCCACGCTGTCTGGAAGCATCCACTGCTTATTGCTGGACTCTGATCAAATGACCAAGTACCTAATGTGACCTTTGATGCCTGCCTTCACCCAAACTCACACTAATGCTTTGAAATACTTTGACCAAGTAACTCGAGAAGTTTGCTTTTTTCCTGGTGGGGAGCAAGGTCAGGTCATTTACCTTAAATTCTGTATTATGATTGGCATTTTGGCTTCTTAAGGGCCGACAGCTCATGTATACTCAAGTCACCGTACCCCATTCAGTAGCTCTCCTTGTTACAGAGAGCCTGCCAGGCACCAGGAATTAGTGAACTTATTACTATTAAAATTCTTTATTATTATTACTGGATTTTGTATTTATTCCTAGATGAAAAACTGTGCTTTACGTGTCCCAGCTTGTCACACCTAGTGCAGTGGAGACATACAGGCAATGGAGAACCTTACCATCAACCCAGATACCACAGGGCTTTCTTAAATGGAGATGAGGTGAATTTAAATTCACCTTGTAAAAAATCTCAAATAAGTTGGAAATAAGCAGAATGAGAGTCGACAGAAACAGCAAGCCCCAGAAATAGTCCTCCAAGGACTATGGACTTCATACAATAGATAATAAACAGCCACTCTCATTATCCATCTGCATCTGCAGATTCAACCAATCACAGATATATATATAATGTCTGTCTAAACATATACAAAAATTTTTTTATCATTGTTCCCTAAACAATACAGTAAATCAACTATTTACATAGGCTTAAGTATTATAAGTAATATAGAGAGGATTTAAAGTACACAGTAGGATATGCATAAATTGTATGCAAATACTATATATATATACATAGAAGTATCTGCAGATTTTGATACCTGTAGGGACCAGGAATCAATCTCCTATAGATACTAAGGGGCAACTGTATGTTTAAAAATATATAATTAAAGATAAATTTAAATTAAATTAATGAACAATAAGAAGAAAAAAAACTAGGGGTTGGAGGGGAAGGGAGGGGGCATGGGGTCAGAAAGGCTGGTGGAACGTGATGATCATTATTATCCAAAGTACATGTATGAAGACACAATTGGTGTGAATATACTTTGTATACAACCAGAAATATGAAAAGTTATGCTCTATATGTGTAATAAGAATTGTAATACATTCTGCTGTCATACATAAATTAAAATAAAGAAATAAAGAAAAGAAAAAAACAATAGAGCTAGTAATGAAATAAAATGAAATAATGAAATAAAATGCAAAAAAAAATACCCATAAACTTGGCAAAGATGACTGTGGTAGTTTGGATGATTGTTTCCAATTTTAACTTCCTTCTTAGAATAGAATTATAAATCCAAGCTCTTTGCTAAAGTACTTTGTAGAGGCTCCCACTGGAGTATGTGGAGTAAACAACCTAGCCCCTTTGATATTTGGTTTGGCCCTGTGACTCTGAGTAGATAGGAAGAGAACAGTAGCCTCAAGTGTGCTTATAAGTTAATGTGGCCTCTTGTGTTTCTTTCCCAACCATGGGAAGAATATGTCCCTGGAAGCCATTAATATCAGGATAATTACATGATGCAGAATAGACATGAACTCACCTGAAAGCCCTGGGTCCAGCCCATTGTGCTGAGTCCTGGCAAGCTCAGCTGAGATCAGCCAAAGCCCAGCAAAATGGAAGATTCAGAGCAACAACCAAAAATGTATGTGATACCGATTTATTGTTGCAATGATTGATGGAAAAGTATAAGAAATAAATCAGGAAGGAAAAGAAAAGAATATGACAATATGGACAGTATTGACATTAAAAATATATACTATGTACAAATTTTTTATAGCAATGTATTTTCATAGCAACATGATTGCAAACTAGAAAAATAGATGTTAGTAAGCAATTTAGAATTGGCCCAAGAAGTGTTAGAATGACACATAAATCACAAAGAAAGAGAAGTAAAAAGTTATCCACTATTCCTATTTTTTAAAAAAAAAGGTTTTAAGGTGTTACCAAATCTTCAGAGAAAGATAATCCTCTCTCATATAAATGGCTTAGCTAAACATTTAAATCATAATGAATAAAGACCTGACAAAAAAAAGTATACTCTTAGACAATAATAATATATTAGCACAAATGCAAACAAACACAATTTTAAAAAATAGTTATTTAAGTCCAGAAGTGTACTGATAATTAATAGCATAGTCTTTGGAATCTGACTTTCTGTCTTTATAAGCCCATGGATTGACTGTATGATCTTGAAAAAATCAATTTAACCTCAATGTGCCTCAAATTTTCTTATTTTTCATTGGGGAAAATAATAGCATCTATAGATCAGAGATAATGAAGATTACATAGATGAACACAAGTATAGCCTCTGCACATAGTAACTGTGATAAGAGTATCAGCCATCAGAGCAAGTAGGAGATATCCCAGGAATGCAAGGATAGTTCAACACCAAAACAAAAATCAAAATAATTCATTGACTTAATATGTAACAAATTTTATTTAAAACGTCAATTTAGATATACACTAGCTTAAAGCTTGGAGTGCATCCTGTTCTCCAAACTAGTACATGGTCTCAGATTCTTTGGAAATGTTCTTCCCAGATCCTTGAAATGATTCTAGGGTTGATTTAAAACACAAATTATTTTTGTCTCCTGGTTTTGTCATTAAGATCTCTCTCTCTCTCTCTCTCTCTCTCTCTCTCTCTCTCTCTCTCTCTCTCTCTCTCTCTCTCTCTCGTCAACGTCTGATTCTTCACCACCAGGGCCATGGAGTGATAGCTAGGTTTGATGCTGTTGCTTCTTGATGTCAAGGGTGGGTAGCAGCTTCCTCTCTTGAATCTTTAGATAGGTGGAGAGTAGAGAGAACATTGATGTCAAAGGTGCACGTTCCCTGCTCCCATGAGCAGCCACGTATCAGTGGGGACACAGCTGCTCTCAGCCTACACTGACTGGTTCTCAAGTTTCTGGAATGGCTGCTTACAATGACAGCTCCTCTCAGGAAATGGACTCTGAAAGTCTCCTGCTCTATGGCCACTACCCTGTCAGTGGACACTTCAGTCCAGAGGTCTTGTTGCTGGTGCCCCTGTGCTTTAGGGAGCAACTTGCTCATGAACACAGTTTAAACCACAAAGGCATTCACACAGCCCTGAAGAAACCACTCAAGTTTCCCCAGAACACTCCTGTTCACAATTGTATTCTTCCTCTTTTCTTTTTTTCCCCATGACTCAGCAAAATAAGGCTCTCTGTTGGTTTAGCACTTCAGTACTTTTAGAACAAGGAATGATCTCCTGTACCTGCCTTAGGTGTCCTGGAAGGGAAAGGATAATTTCCACTGTGAGAGCACAGGTGCTACCCAAGGTGGGTCACCTTCCTTTCCCTTTTCAATCCTTATGCTGACCAAAGAAATAGAATTATTAAACCAATTCTACTGCATATTCCCTTTCTTTCAGGTCAAGAAGTGGATGCTTGGGGTATTTCTCCAGGTTTAAAATATGAGGCACTTGGAACCTGTCAATCTCAGCTGTACACTCCAGATGTTCATCAGCAGAAAAGAGAAATGGCTCACCTCACCCCTTACACACTGTGAACAGACTAAAGGAAATGCCATAAATCATCTGATAAATTTCAATACACAGTCATGATAAAAATTACAAGGTATCTATCAGAAACTAGAACAAGCAGTATTTTCAATTGTGAAATATTGAAAATGTTCCCATGTCACAATAAGAAACTCATATTGTCATTGGATCTCTTCAACAATGTATAGGGGCTCCTGGACCCTATCAAAAGATAAAAATTCAAATATAGGAATTATGAATACCATAAAGAAAAGAGCAAAATTTCCATCATTTGTAAATATAATCATATATTTATAAAACATAAGAGAGTCAATTATTTCAGAAGTATTAGGGGGAAGGAATGAGAATCCAAAAAGATGGTTGGGTGTAATATGAATAAAAAATAAGGCAAGTTTTCTCACAAACAAGCAATTATTAATTTAAAATGTGATTTAAAAATACCATAGTAACAATATCAAATAAAATCATAAAATAAATAAATTTAATAAAAAATAAGGATATATCAATTTTCAGAGGCTTAGATAGTTTATATATTAAAAAGCTTCCTTGATTTAAAAAATTTTTAAATTTGATATTATGATAGTAAGACTCTATAATTTGTATGCTGGATTCTGAGTACATATGGGAGGATAATTAGCTTAAAAACCAATATTCATCATAGAATAAGAAATAACATTCTATTCCCACCTTTGGGGTTTTGATGTAGAAATTTTGCTCAGGGAAAGAATTAATGCAGTGAGAAAAAGTGTTCAAAGTGTGAGGGTGGGAGGGGGGGAGCCTTTCTAGAGACAAGATACTTATGTGGTTGCCCCTCATGGGACATGGTCCCATTCCCATGTGTCCCTGGGGCATGAGGCATAGTCCCATTTCTGCAGACTTGACACAAGACCTGGGACCATGCCCTGAGTGCCACTTCCAACATTGTGCTGCAGAAAACACCCAGGTGACTAAGTGGAGTATGGAAGGCATGATGTCACCAACTGCAAATAGGCCTTGTGGACTCAGACCAGGAATTATCTACACACTGGCAGCCAACACTGATGTCTATATGTTCTTTCAGATGTTTCTGTAGCCCCTATTCCTGTGTACAGCCTGAAGGAGAAGATCAGTTTGTTCCATCCACCAAACAAAGAAAGCATATCCTAAGATTGTATTTTTCATTCTTCGGGCAAGTGGGGGGCTCAGAGGCAGAACTCACTTCATTTACATAAATAAAAAGAAATGAAACTAAAGCAATGGAAATTCATGTTAACACATTCATAGTTTATTGCACTTAAGTCATCTCTACTCAGCTCAATGGTGGGGTGATTATGAATATGAGGTTCAGGTGGAGTAGATGGATTTGAATCCAATCTCTGCCATTTGCTCTTCATTGTAATAGTCAAAACATTTGACTTTGCTAAGCATCCATGTTCTCATTTAAAAATGAGAAAAATAATACTGTTCCCATGAAATTGTTAAAGATTAAATAACATTTCATAAGAAGCATTACAAGTGTCTGTCAAGGTGATTGGTGCATAGTTTGTGCTTGAGAAACTGTGTCACTTTGTAGTAGTAGTAGTTATGATAGTGATTTGAGTAGTTGGAGCAATGGCAACAAATATTTTATCTTCATTCAAAATGAAGAAATTGGCTCAGGAAAATTAAATATCCCAAAGAGGTACAGGATACCTTTACCCACACCAAGACAGAGCCCAAGATTTTATGCACAGTTGATTTTAATGAAATCCTGATTAAATGAAATTAAAGAAGAAAGCAGAGCCAGTGCTGGGGTTGATAGTGTAAATGCCTCATGGAGATCTGAGGTGAGGTGGGGATCAGCAGGAAGCTACTTTGGTCAGGCCTGGGGTGGGAAGGTTCTTCATTAGAGGCCTAGGCTGGTTTCTGTTGATCAGTGGTTGAGCAGGAACCCTAAAACTCAAGGGAGTGATTACCAATCTGGAAGACTAAGTTCTATCAGCTCCATGCTGGGCCACCCTCTGGCTCTCTAGCCTCATGGAAGAGAGCAGGTATGCCCCAGAGAACCAGGGTGCTGAGTAATCCTGAAGGTGACCTTAGCTCCTCACATTTGTAATTTTCTGGAAGTCTATCTTTATCACTGTGTTTAACCAAGATTTCTAAATTTTCATGGGACTGGGAAAGGGGAAAGTTTCAGGGGAAGATTAGAGGAGCAGGAAGCAGGCACTCTGTGATTTTAGAGGATTTTTCTAACTTGAGGCCTCATGGTTGCCATTTATAAATGAAAAAAACTGGAGAAGATGAAGAACAAATTGTTCTCCATCTCCGTCTCATAGTGAAGTTCAAGGTCGGGAGTGGAGGATATCTAAGTTGCAGTGCTGAGAAGGGGCTCCCAGGGCAGTGTCAAGGATTAGTGATTATAGGAGAAGAGTTAGGAACCATCTGGGGAATGAAGTGATTAAGAGTGCCTTTGGATCTAATAATCACAAATACATTTTGTTGAAATTTAAATTTAAAAATAAATTTTGATGGAGGCTGCCATGCAGGATCCTGTCTACCCTGTGGCCTAAATGTCTGCTCAAAACTCACAGATGGCCAAACGGTACTGCAGGCAGTTCTTATCATTCCAAGTCCCATCTGTGTACATCTCCACACACTTATCTCTGCCCCGACCCCTGGGCTCCCCGGGATACCAGTTGGTATAGTTCACAGGGGTCTCATCCAGGTAACGGAAGTCTCCAAGAGTGTTGCTCTCAACCAGGCCCAGGTAGGCATAAGTGTTGTACTTCCTCACAATGCTTGCAATGGCCTCATTCTCCTCTGGATTCCTTGGGGCAGCAATGTTGCCACCTGCTTTGGCACAAGACTCACTAATGTCATCAAAGTTGACCGATTGCCCATTGGTGGAGAAGATCTTCTTTCCAACTGCCAGCATGGACCCCTGCAAGCTGAGGACTAAGAGCAGAGGAATCTGGGTTAGGCCACCAACCTCTGTCTCCATATCCATCTTGCCTCCTCAGGGTCTCTACCATTAGGCTCTTTCCAATCTCTTTGTCTCTGCCTCTCTCTTCCTTCCCTTCCTCTTCCAATCAGTTTTATAAATTCCTCTCTCTGCTTTCATCCATCCATCTTTTCATTCATTCATTCATCTCCTTAACATTTACTTATTGCCAAGAACTGTGAAATTTTCTGGGATGCAAGAGAAAGCAGGATGGGCAGAGAACATGCTCTCCTAGGAAATTGGGAGCAAATCTGTGTCTACTTCTCTCTTTTCTGGACCATTCAGAGACTTCAGAAAAGGAAAGCATCATTCCTTATCTCAAACCTGCAGATTCACACTTGTTTTTCTGGTCTATAGTCTCCAGAAGCTGGGGGTAACTCTACCCTTTGTGCCCCCAAGGAGTCCCCTTACCTCCCATTGACTGCGAGATTTGATGCCTGAATTCCTGAAGCATGGTTTGGAGATCCTCATCTAGATAAGATGGAAATCCTATGGAGAGACCCCCACCAGGATGAGGGGCAAGCAGACAAGATCCCAACTTGCTGCCCACAGATGTTTTGCCCACTGTAACCCTGGAACCCTGCCCTCTAATTGTCCGCATCCCCTGTGCAGGCATGAGGGTCCACAATGTGGAATGTTTCCATACTCTGTAAACACCTATCTTCCTTTATGCAGTTGTGCCCCTGATGAACCTCTTTCTGCTCTTCTTTCATGTCATATCTCCTGAATGGCTCTGCTTGCCCAACTTTGAGTGCTTTTCTGACCTCTAGAAAGGGTCCTCTCCTTCACCTTCCACCCAGGATGAATATGATTGCTTTTGCATTCTCCTGATAGATCTTGATAGTACTCAGAGCTATGGAGTTCCCTTGCACACTTGGGACTCCTGATCATAACCTTTTCCTGGATCCCTCATGCACATAACCCTGTATACCTTTCAGAATGCCCAAGAGCCTCAGTCCCATGGAGGGCTATGACTCCCAGTGTTGTCCCTCTTCCTTCACCTGACACCTTTTATCTCTCCATAAGCAGTCACAATGCATGGAACACTTCCTATACCCATCGGTCCCTGAATTATGACCATGTAACTTGAACACCTCTGACTTCTGTCTTCAACCTCACATATCATTAATTAATTAGGTTGAGCAGTATGCCACAGGCACCTCTGTTACCCCATGTTGCTGACTGCATAGGCATTATGTGCATGTCCCCCTGCCCATCCTCTCCCCTGGCTCCCACTCACCTGGAAGGCCCCTTTCACCAGGCTCCCCCTTGTCTCCACGCTCTCCAGGGACACCGGGGGCTCCAGTCAACCCGTCACGCCCAGGGAGACCTGGCATTCCTCCTGGAGGGCCCATGGGACCTGTAGAGAGAAGAGGACATGGTTGTGTGGACCTCGACTTCCATCTGAGTGAATTCACTTAACATTGTATGGGCACTTTGAGGATATACTCTCCAGATACTCCAGCTTAAGTGCCCTAGGAAACCCCCACTTTGTCCCAGCCAAATGAGTCTTGAAACCCAACATACAGCCCTGGTCAAAGGGGCCTAAAAAATGTGTCCCTGCCCCTCAGTGGAGGATGGGGTCTCCAACACAATACCTGGAGGTCCAGGGTCTCCCTTGACACCATCTCTCCCATCTCTGCCTGGCAAGCCATGGGATCCAGGAGTGCCAGGGATACCCGGGCTTCCAACACAGACTTCTGTCCCATTGCTCATGATGCCAGAAACTGCCATCAAGGTGAGGGTGAGGGCCAAAGTGCACAGCAACATGGCTCCTGTCCCAGCTGCTTCTCCTGCTGGAGAGAAGGGCCACTGACCCATCTGCAGAATTTGCGAATGTCTCCCCTTAACCCTTTACATTTGCTGTGTTTGTTAGAACTCAGGAATATGGCAGAGTCTGAGGGCCAATCCAGTCCAAATAAGAGTACTGGGAAGAACTGAAGACCCAAACTATCCATGCACAGGAATTCCCAGCATCATCCAGTATCTAGCCTGGTCTTATATCCCATGCCTCTGATCTGAGGTGGTGTGGTCCTTGGGCAGGTGAGGGGTAGAACTTTGGAGAGTCAGCAGCCTGGTTCTCACAGAGTGTCTTCTCTGTTAGCATGTTCCAGTGTGGCCGTGAGGCATTCATTGCACCTCTCTGACCTACAGATGAACTTCAGTGTTCACAATCCGGACCCATCCCTTCCAGTTGTCCTTCACTCCCTGATATGGGAATGCAATCCATATGTCCCTCAAAATTCCCAGTTACCCTCTTTTTGGGTTCTAAGGAATCATGGACCTCAGAATGGATAGATATGACCAGGGTCCATGGCCTATCCCCTATATAGCAGTCAATGATGGGGAACCCTTTCCTTCTCAGGACCTTAGTTAGTACTGTGGCTCTTAGGCTGGTCCTGGAATCCTTATGCTAGAGAGGGCCCATATACCCATATACCAGGGAATGGGGGCTCAGCTTACCCACACACAGGCTTCCGTCTTGGTGGATTTCTGCCTCCAAGTCAGAGTGGAGAGCACCATTTATAGGGATGTGGGCTGACAGGCTTCCTCCCAGTCCCTGAGAGGCCCCTATCTTAAGAGCCTCTCCTTCCTGGAGGGCCTCTCATGTACATATCACATTTCCCCACAGAGCCCTCAGGCTGGAGGAACACTTGAAGAGAGCCCAGAATCCCTAAAGAAAAACTCCAGATCTGTAAGAAGGGGAATTTCCCTCCGCCTGAGGTCACTCACTCTATTCCTAACAACTTTTCTACAGTAAAGGATGAAATCTTTTACCTAGGTAGTGATGGAGGTGCATTTGGTTCCTGGTTTGGTTTCAAACAGTACAGAGACTGGTGGCTCTAGTTTAGGGTGGTCAGTTTGAACTGGAGAATACTGTCTGTCCTTTGGTTTGTTCACTGTTGAGTCTCCAGGATTACCAGCCCCTGCCTCTGTGGCCTTGTGGCTGAATTGGTAGGTATATGAGCAGAGTGACAGATAAACAGGTGGCATGTTCCATTTTCCTCTGTCCTAGCTGGTTCAGCCGTGGGGAGGCAGGACACTGCCTGGAAGTTCACAGGAGAGCATCAGTTTCTGTTTGGGGCCATAGGTGATATCAGGTAACTGCAAAGGTGATGACTTTTTTGTTTTTTGTTTTTTGTTTTTTGTTTTTTTTATTGGTTGTTCAAAACATTACAAAGCTCATGACATATCATCTTTCATACATTTGATTCAAGTGGGTTATGAACTCCCATTTTTACCCCAAATACAAATTGCAGAATCACATCGGTTACACATTCACATTTTTACATAATGCCATATTAGTGACTGTTGTATTCTGCTACCTTTCCTATCCCCTACTATCCCCCTCCCCTTCCCTCCCATCTTAAGGTGATGATTTTAAGTGATCAAATGATATCTAAAATCCTAATTAATGAGATATTCTATTAGACTTGCTTAAGAAAGAAGGAATTCCTAACTGCAAAGATGGTAACCACAGGGAACCAAGACAAGGAAATCCCCAGGCTTCCTACTATGTAGTTTGAAAAATCTTGAAATTCTTGGGATGTGTGGAGAACTTCTAGGCAGTAGAAGCTCAGCTGACACTACCTCACTCCTAGGACAGGAAGTCAGGTGGCACCCCCTTGAATCACTGAGTACTCTCAGCTGCCCTGGTGCTGCTGCTACATGCCCTTCAGGTGGGTTCTGGATAGGTGTGGATGGGGTAGCCATATCTAGCGTAGAGCTGAGGTAGGTGGGAAGCAAATCCAGGTGCAGCTGAATAAGAAGAGAGACTACCTGAGATGTCCAGGGCCAGTGGTTTGCAAGGAGGGTGAAGCTTTAGGAGGCAGACACACCTGAGTTTGCCTGGAGCTGCCACTTACCACCCATGTGGCCCTGATAGGGTTATATAAATTTTGGAACCTTCTTTTTCTTTTCTTTATTTTGAATCAATACCAAAGTTGCAGATACAGTGTATACTATCTCCAAATAACCTTCGATCCTATGCAAAATTCACCAAATGCCCCAGTAAAGTCTTCTACAGGAAAAGGATTCATAATCATGTGCCCCATTTAGTTGTCATTTCCCTTTAGTCTCCTTAAATAAAAAATAGTGCCTTAATCTTTTTTTTTTTTTTAACTTTCAGGGTCTTAACACTTTTTGGAGATTACTGGTTAGTTACTGTGTAGAATGACTCTCACTTTGGTTTTTTTTTTCCCCTTAAGTATTCATGATTGGATTCAGATTCCATGAAAATGATGGTGTGTTCTCCTTCTCATCAGGTGGCATGTGACTTCAATTTGTTCAGATCCTGGTGATGTCTACTTTGATCATTTGCTATGTGCCAGGATTCTGTACCAAGTTCTTTTTTTTTTTTAACATGAGAACTATTTGTGGGGAGGTATTTTGAAGCTCTGTAAAGGTCCCACTTCTCACTAAACTTTCTTTTTCCCCCCACTTATTTATTTTTATCCATATAAACTTTGGCTTGAGGAATACCAAAGGCCAGCAGTGGGGAGTTGTTTACTTAAGATGCAGGGATTAAGGGGGTGCATTATCTATAGAAAATCTTAAACAATCTACAAGTTGTTAGCACATTGCTCCAGCAAATCTAAGGAATGTCATTAATAACATATTTCTCTGCTCTAGTACTGCTGAGTCCTGATAGCCCATGCCAAGTCACTCCTGTGTACACACTCTCCTCACCTGACCTAGGCTCTGACATGCTCTCCAGGTATTTGGCCTTCTCCTGTAACTTCCTTACTCTCCTTAGGGCCTTACACCCTATGACTGCGCCACCTGCCCACTTGGGTGGTCCAACATCCACATCAGGATCCTCCTTTGTGGGGATGTCCCTTTCACTTGGCCAGGCTCAGGCAGTCCACACCAAGCCACCTCAGACAGAGTTCTACTCCCTCCCGTGCAGAAGCGCTCCTCACTCAATGTGTTTGATATCAGAAAGAAGACACTTAGGTAAGTTTGAGTGAAGTTAAGATGGAAGAGGTGTAAAGTGGAAGTCATGCCTTCTTCCTGAGGTTGGGGCATGGCATCTGTACAGCTTTGAGACCTCTCACAGCTGTTCAGGGAACTCTTGGACTTCCCCTTCTCCAACTGCCCTATGCTCCAGCCAGGTGAGGTGTCCATATGTGGCTCTCTTGAGTTTTCTGTATTTTGGAATCATCACAACTCTAAAGTAAATCTAGAAAATAAATCCTCATTTGATACTTCAGTCAACTGAGGCTCAGAGCTTCCTGGATTTCCCAGATCACTCAGATCTTCTCTAATACAGCATAAATTTAACTTCAGAAATATCCTCCCTGAGTCAGAGAGGATGTGTTTGTTCTATTTGATCTAGGGGGAAAAAGGGCAGCATAAAATAATTTACTGATTATATTTATTTCAAAGTATCTTCTAATCTCAGGAGTTTGGGCCCAGATCAACAACCTGAAGGGGAAGAGAGTACAGGTTTTTCTTCCCTGATGCAGCCAGCATATTAAATAAATAAATTTTATATACACACATATGCACACATGCACACATATATTACATATTTTTATATACATACATGCTTACATACATATCACATTGGTGCCTCTCGAATAAATGTCATTTCATTTGTACTTTAGTTAATAAGTTGATTAATTACTTGATTAATTTTGTGATACTGGGAATTGAACTCAGGGATGCTCTACTACTGAGCTACCTCCCCAGCCCTTTTTATTTTTTATTTTGAGATAGGGTCTCCTTAAGTTAACCAGGCTAGCTTCGTACTTGTGATCCTCCTGCCTTGGCTTTCTAAGTCACTAGGATTATAGGTATGGACCACTGTACTGAACTTGTCATTTTGTTTTTATTATTTTTTTCCTTTAAAATTTTTTATTAGTTTACTTTTAACTGATGAATAAAATTATATACATTTTTACAGTAAAAAATGATATTAAACATAGATACATTGTGAATAGTTAAATCAAGCTAAACACAACTACCTCATTTGTGTATGTGTGTGTGATGAAAAGACAAAATCTATTAGCATTTTTCTAGCATGATATATGTTTGTTATTAACTGTAGTTACCATGTTATATAATGGATCTCTTAAACTTATTTATCCAATCTAACTGAAGTTTTGTTTCCATTTTTTATCATATTCCCCCTTCCTCCACCAGCCCCTGGTAACACTATTCTACTCCCTGTTTATAAGTTAGACTTTTTCAGATTTCACATGTAAGTGGTAACATGTTGTATTTGTCTTTCTGTACTTGGCTTATTTCACTTAACACAATGTCTTTCAGTTTAATCCCTGTTGTTACAAATGTCAAAATTTCCATGTTTTTTTTTCAGGCTGAATAATATTCCATTGTGTACATATTATGGTTTAGGTATGAAATATCCTCCAAAAGTTCATGTGTGAGACAATTCAAAAACATTCAGAGGTAAAATGATTGGGTTGTGAGGGCCTTAACTTAATCCGTGAATTAATCCCCTAATGGGGACTAACTGTGAGTGGTAACTGAAGACAGGGTGTGGCTAGAGGAGTTGGGCGTTGGGGGCTGCCTTTGGGTTATGTATTTTTTTTTTAATTTTTTATTGTTGGCTGTTCAAAACATTACATAGTTCTTGATATATCATATTTCACAATTTGATTCAAGTGGGTTATGAGCTCCCATTTTTACCCCATATACAGATTGCAGAATCACATCAGTTACACATCCATTGATTTACATATTGCCATACTAGTGTCTGTTGTATTCTGCTGCCTTTCCTATCCTCTACTATCCCCCCTCCCCTCCCCTCCCCTACCCTACCCTCTTCTCTCTCTGCCCCCTCTACTGACATTCGTTTGTCCCCCTTATATTATTTTTCCCTTTCCCCTCACTTCCTCTTGTATGTACTTTTGTATAACTCTGAGGGTCTCCTTCCATTTCCATGCACTTTCCCTTCTCTCTCCCTTTCCCTCCCACCTCTCATCCCTGTTTAATGTTAATCTTCTTCTCATGCTCTTCGACCCTACTCTGTTCTTAGTTACTCTCCTTATATCAAAGAAGACATTTGGCATTTGTTTTTTAGGGATTGGCTAGCTTCACTTAGCATAATCTGCTCTAATGCCATCCATTTCCCTGTAAATTCTATGATTTTGTCATTTTTTAATGCAGAGTAATACTCCATTGTGTATAAATGCCACATTTTTTTTATCCATTCATCCATTGAAGGGCATCTAGGTTGGTTCCACAGTCTAGCTATTGTGAATTGTGCTGCTATGAACATCGATGTAGCAGTGTCCCTGTAGCATGCTCTTTTTAGGTCTTTAGGGAATAGACCGAGAAGGGGAATAGCTGGGTCAAATGGTAGCTCCATTCCCAGCTTTCCAAGAAATCTCCATAATGCTGTCCAAATTGGCTGCACCAATTTGCAGTCCCACCAGCAATGTACAAGTGTACCCTTCTCCCCACATACTCGCCAGCACTTGTTGTTGTTTGACTTCATAATGGCTGCCAATCTAACTGGAGTGAGATGGTATCTTAGGATGGTTTTGATTTGCATTTCTCTGACTGCTAGAGATGGTGAGCATTTTTTCATGTACTTGTTGATTGATTGTATGTCCTCCTCTGAGA